CCTGCCTCCCAATGTCACCGAAAATATAGACAAATGTCACTTTAGAAGGACTGAGGACTGTGAAATAATTGAAGGCTGTGCCTTGGACCAAATGCCAAACAGTCCACTTGGGCCTCCTTCACCAGTGGAGGCCCTTCATCACCGAATATGCCTTTTGAGGACACATGGGTTGGAAAAGGGTGGGGAAGATATTGTGCCACTGGGACCCCTCAGGTCTTTGTGAGTGCCTTTTCCTAACGTGCATGCTGAGATTAAGAAACTGCAATCCCCAGGGATTTTTTTCTTTCCTCTCTTTTCTGTGGAGACTCTAAGAAGCCATGACTATGGAGGAAGGAAGCTTGGGGGCTGCAGTTGGGACCATGCAAGGAAACTGAAGCTCGTGAGTGAACAGATTGTACTGCACCAGCTAGTACCTGCTTTCTCCTTCCGAAAGGTCAGCGCGAAGGACAGCATTTCTTTGGGACAAAGATGAGTGAGTTAGAGATCATCAAAGCCCAGCACCCCCTCCTGCCCAGCGCTTGTTTATTCCTCCCTTCCACAGACAGGCATCATGTGGTGGGCGCTGTGCTGGGACGTGATGATACCAAGTTGAAAGCAGATGTCCTCTGTCTTCAAAGACCTCTGGATTTCGTAGGGGACCCAGTACCAAAGGACAGGCAGGGAAGTGCTGCAGTAGAGGCCTCGGTGACACACAGTGTCCAACAGATGTTCTGGCACAAAGGAGGAAATGCTCACTGCTGCTGGGAGGAGGGAGCAGGGAGAGGAGTCACACAGGGCTGCTCTGGGGACTGAGGGATGAAGCTGTGCCTTTTCACCCTCCTGTGAGATCAGGAGAAGGCAATCAGATTCATCCCCAAATGCCCAGCCAGGAAACAGTTACTCAAGGCTTTCTCCTATCTTCTGTATGCCTTTGGCTGTTTCACGGCTCCTTGGTATTGCCATTAAAGAGAGAAAGTGGAAGTGAAATTTGTTTATTTTGCTTCCGCTGAGAGGTTAGGGAAAACACATTGGTGGAGGAGAGAGAGGAAAAAAAATAAAGCAAAAATTTTTATTAAGCTGGCATTGCTTTGTTTAATTGCTTTTTACTAGTCTAAAATTATTTTCTTTTCTTTTTTTTCTGCTTGTGAAATATTGCAACTGTACAGATATTGATAAATAAAATGAAAACCCCCCTCCACCCCACCTCTCCCATTCTCCAGGGCCAGCACTGTTAACAGTTTGATGAGTGTCTTTCTGGATTTTTTAAATTTACAGCTATATTTTAAATTTACAGCTATATTTTAAAACAAAAATGAGATTTTGTCAACTATATTGTTATACATAGCACCGGCCACTTGCTTTTCTCTCCCAACCCTCTCCCCAACTCAGTACATCACGAACATTCTTAGAACTATTTTTCAAAGGAAATGTCATTATATGATGCAGAGAAGATGCTGTAGCAATATGTAGACAGTGCATTTGAATCAATAAAAAAATCAGGATAGGTCAAAACTCCCCTCCTCTGAGAGGTCTTTTTTTGATCAACTCTACTTTGATTTTTTTGTTTGTCCTTTCCTCTGAATCATCCAGTAGTTTTACATATTATTTCTATATGATATTTGGCCCCTGCCCATAAACATATTCTTTTGTCTTATACTGAAGCCCTTTTGGTTGCAAAGAGCAAGGCCCCGTTTTGTAAGACTGCAGGTGAACTGGAAGGTTCAACTGAGGGGCTGGTCTTTCTTGGTGTGCTGATTTGTTCCAGTTATCCTTTTGTCTGGACTGGCTTCCTTTCTCTATCAACTCTTCATCTTCTTCTTTTAAGACTTGTAAATTGATTTTTAGAGAGAGAGGAGGGAAAAGGAAAAGAGAGAGAGAAACGAGTCCACAACCCAGGCATGTGCCTGGACTGGGAATCGAACCGGCAACCTTTCCATGCACCAGATAATGCCCAACCAACTGAGCCACACCTCTCACCAGCCAGGGCTCTACCAACTCTTCTCTTCCCTCGCCATTTGGCTTCCATTTGTTCACTCATTCATTCACTCATTCACTCAGCAAGTAGTTACCGCATGTCAGCGACATGCTAGAAGTGGTTCTGGCATGTACAGTTTGGGCCGCTCTAATCCTGACTCCATTAAAATCATGGCCTCCTTTAATTCCACTTATCAAGTTTTCCCCATGTTTCTTAGTTTAAATTCCTAAGGGTGGGAAAGTGATTGGCTCAACTTATGCCAGGCCATACTTAGATGTCTGGACAGCCTGTGGCCCAGAGCCTGTTCATCCAGATGTGGCTGGAGAAAGCCCTTCACAGACCTAACCTGCTCAGCTCACTCCATAAGTGTCCTCAGGTCTTACCTGCGCATTTGTGTCATCTCCCCAACCAGAGTGGATGTCAGTACGAACTGTGTGTCTACCATGACCTGCACACAATAAGTGTTCAACGAACAATGTTAACACAACCTTCCCTTTGCATGGAGTTGGGCTCACTGTGGGCAGAGGGCAAGAATCACAACCTCCCTGCTGCTCAGAGACCCACAGCAGGTTTTCACAGCCCTCCACTCGGTAGACAGCAGCAGGTCTCATCACAGGAATGCGCACACTCTTAGTGTGGTCTTTGAAGGTACAGACGGAGAGATATCAGGAACCAGAGGAGAATTATAGGTAAAAAATACAGAGTGAGTGTCAATTTTAATTCCCATACATGGAAACAAAATTTAAGCATTTAATATGTAATTATAGACCTGGGCAATGTTTCTTTTCCCTGGAGCCAGGATATTTTTATTCAACAACTGTCTTCAAATGATCAGGTCACCATTCCCATTAATACACAAAATGTGTATAAGAAATTGCAATACAACATAGCATTGATGACTCAAGACAGAGGGTTAGGAGGTTAACATATAATTTTTATCTAGTATATTTTATTTTTATTTTTTAGTTAATCCTCACCTAAGGATATTTTTCCATTGATTTTTTAGAGAGACTGAAGGGGAGAGGGGAGAAACATGGATATGAGGATATGAGAGAGACACATGGATTGGTTGCCTCCTGCACACGCCTCGACGGGGGCCAGGGATCGACCCTGCAACCCAGGTATGTGACCTTGATTGGGAATCTAACTCGCAACCCTACTGGGCACAGACCTGCACTCTAACCATTGAGCAACACCAGCCAGGGCTGTATCCAGTATCTTTTAAATATCAATTTTTGTTAGGGATGATATAAAGAATGAATGTCAGTTACATGGTATTAGAAATAGTTGGCCACCGAACCACTGCCCAGATGGCTTTCTGCCCCATCCTCTCACATTCTTGTCACCGTTCTTCCAAATCTCCTTTCATTCGAGAGGACTTCAGCCAAACTTCAATGAATTCAAACTTCAAGTTCACATAAAAATAACTAGATAGCTTGAGGGACTGACTGACTGTTCCTCAGGGGAGGGCAGGAAGGAGGTGTTACTTCTCAGAGCCAGCACCAGAACCCCGGGTCCCTCTGGAGAGCCGGCCAGGGCCTTGGGGGAGAGGAGCCTAGAGAAATATTGGCTTGCACCCCTCTGACAGCAGCTCCAGGGGAAGCCGCCCCAGGGGCAAGCACAGAGAAGGGATTCGGTCCGTGTCTGCGGGTGTGGTGCTTCGCTCATCACTCCCGCCCCATGTTTTAGACGAGGCCCTCGTCTCTCACCCAGGCGCCTCGATTGCCCCAGCTGGCCTCCTGCCTCCAGAGTAAAGTTGCTCCTGTGCTTCCTCCACTCCTGCACTCACTCTCTTTCCGGATGATTAAGTGACTCCTCTGTTCAGAAAAAAATTGCTTACATACACACCCCCCCCGCCCAGATCCTTCATGGGACATTTATGTTCTGACCCCAGCTGATTTCCTAACATCACCTTCCCCTGTTTCCTGCAGCCACACCAGGCGGACTCTGTAACCCGTTCCAGCCTCCTTGCCTCTTTTCACTGCCTGAATTGTCACTGACACAGCAACACCTGCCACCCATCTTCCTCATCTTTATTGTCCCCTCCCCTTCCCACAGCCCAAAGAGGAAGTTCTCTTCTGTGTTACCATAGCAGTTAGGCTATAATTCTGACCTCATTTATTTTTGTTGCTCATAGGTTTGTCTCCTCCTGTGGACTGTGAGCATTTTCAGACCAGGAACCTCTGTCACGTAATCATCCGACACCCCAACGCCCAGCAAAGTGCTCAGCACAGGTGCTGAGGAAGGAGATTCATGGAAACGATTGTCCGGTGTTAGGCATTTGATGTGCTTTCAGGCTATATGCAGATAGCTCCTAATTTAGTGTTAATCCTGATAACAGGTTTCTAATATTGCCATGTTAGTTTCCTGACCAACAAAATTTAAAAAGGATAACAAGAAATACATAGCAACTTGTGTGTAAGAACAAATAAACACTTCAAGTACCAGGAAGAAGTCTGATTAGAAAGTTAGCAAAGTAATTCCAAACTGCCTTTTCAAGCACGTTGAAGATAAACGAGGTGTCATTTTCCAAGATGAAGATTCGGGTTTCGGATATTTCGCTTTGCCTGGATTTGCTTAGATATAAAAATAAGGGATTGAAGAAAAAAATAAAAATAAAAATAAAAATAAATAAAAATAAGGGATTGGATTCTCCCTTACCTATAAAATTATATTCTTGTTTATCACTTAACAAATGATAAATATTACATCAGCTTTTTTTGGTGCTCAAATCAGCAATAAAAGCTACGTTAAAAGACCTCTTTTTAAAGATGCTTCAAAGCATGTCCTGAAGTCCATCCGACTTCTAATAACAGATGTGCAAACACGTTAGGCGATCGCTTCCACAAGTGCTCTGTTTCTTTAAGAGCCCTCGGTTGTTATGTTGGAAGATCATTGAACCATGTGAGGGTCAATAAAAGAATAAAAAGTCGCTGGTTAGTGATTGGAGTACAAGGAACTCGATCGCAGTTCAGCATCTGTGTCCATATGCTGCCGGCGGTGGCAGGGGGAGCGCCTGGGCCTCGGCTGCTCGCTCTTCCTCGAGATGGCTTCTGGAAGGCTCATCAAGCTCGTGGTGTTCGAGCTCCTTGAGTTCGCTGCTTTCTCCATCCCCACACTCGTGATTGTGGAGCAGTTTGCCACCGCCTATCAAGGGTCAAGGAACAAAGCAGAAAAGACTCATTACTGGCTGATCGTTTCCTGTTCAATCGCCTATGTGGCCTCAGTGAGCCTACTGATTTGGGTTCCCATAAAAGTTCTCTTATACAAGAAACGGCACCTCTCAAAAAAAATTAAAGGATGGTAAGTAAAAGGATTCCCTTCAGCAGGGGATCCCTCAGATGCTTTCAGAGGTGCTTTCTCATGTAGTATGTGTAAGGATGTTAATACAGCAGAAATGTGCATAGTGTAAGATTAGGGAGAAGTGACAGTCACTGTTTCTATAAATGTGTTCATGTTGAAGTATCTTCCATATTTTGTGTAGGGTCATTTTTACTGGAGATGGTAATTAATTACATGTGTTCATAAGATATGTGTTAACATGAGCCCACGATACCCTGAGCAGTAAATGTGGGAACTAATTCTTTTGTACACTCAGCTGCATAAAGTTATCATAGATTATACTATAAATTTAACTTTTGTATAAAACGGAAAGTAATGTCTATTTTTAAATGTTTTCATTGCATGGTTTGCAGGACTAAGGATCCCTTCGATCATTAACCAACTGAGATTTTTAAGCAACTGGGCCCTTTAATTAGATTTTAAAAAGTAATACTTTATTGTATTGATAAATTCTATTCCCCCCTGGTTGGGGGGAAGTACTTCAATAATAATACAAAATATTTTAAATAAATTAATATTTAACATTGATTTAACTGATAGTTTAGCTAATAACCCGATCCATCCATGTAAAGGTATGGAGAACAAATAATCTCTGATACTAATATATTTTTCTTTTTAGATCTTCAGATCTGATTTTGCTCATCTGGGATTTCTTTGTTTTCTTTGATATCTTAAATTTTCTTTTCATTTTCTTTCTTTTATTTTAAAGTTGAACAGCATAGAATGCATTTGAAACAAGGAGCTGGGAATTTTAACATAATCAGGGGTAGAAATGTAAAAATAATAAATACAGATATAGCTAGAAGTACTGTTGGGAAGGTGCAGAAGGGAAGAGCTGAAGTGTGGAGTCCGTGAAGTGCTCTTTAGATACTGATACCGATGAGGCCTTGAGAATCACACTTACCAGGGGACTGCCAGTTCCCTGTGAGGAGAGCTACTGAGGGTTTCAGGAAATAAAACATTTGGTTGACGCTGCTTCTATCAGTGGGGCTTAAGGGTTTCCCAAACCTGGACCCAAAGCCTCTAGATCATCTAAGGGGTAGGTTTGGAGCTGAGCTGGGCCCTGCACTCCTCATACCCCCTGGAGTTGCTCGGACTGCCTAAGGCTCTGGCTGGGCAGGGGCATTGGAGGGCATGGTGCGAGGTCCACATAACCACAGGAGTAAAGCAATGGGAAGCTGGCCCATGGCAGCCCAGGAAGGGGCTCTTTTTCCTTTTTTTGTTTGTTTTTCACATTGGCTCAGATTCCTAGGACTGTTAAGTTCTTCATATCATTCGGGAAGCAAAGCTTCCTACATCATGTATCATCATTATCACCACCACCATCATTAAGCTATAATTGCTTCTTTACCAATCACTTATGTGCTAAGAGATTTATATATGAATTTCATTTCATTCCATAACACCTCATGCAAGTAGGCATTTTCGTAAGTTCATCATTAGTACTTGCAAGAGGAAACTGATGATTAGAGAGTTGTGCAACTTTCCCAGTCAGTTAACTAGTGAATGGAAGGGCCAGACTTTGGACCTAGGTCCCTCTAATGCCATAGTTGGTACTCCTAACCACTACCCTAAACTGCCTTTTGAAGGTCCCAGTCACCCGGGGCAGTTGAGAGTAAGGAAGAGGGTAGGTTTCATTTCTACTCCCCAGTGCACATGTTTCCTCTTGTACGTCTGCTTCAGGTCGTCCCCTTGTGTTAAGGTGGCTTGGGCTGTCACAACAATTATATCTTTCAGTAATTTCTTTTGGAAAATACTTTTTCCTTTCTGTTTGTGGGTGTGGCTGGCCACAAGTGTTCTAAGTAGATTTAAATATATGACAGGTTACCTATCATTTCAGCGAGACTGTAAAACTAGTTCCTCAGCACTATCATATTGTTATCTCTTCCTGGCATAGAAGAGAAGAAATAGCTCCTGAGCATTATCCCAGGAGTTTCGGGCATTCTGTGCTATTAAATTTGAACTTTGTGACAACCCAGTGAGATATGTGCTAGTGTTCTCATTTTACAAGTGAAGAAATAGAAACTCAAAGAAATGGTGAACTTTGTCAGGTGACAAAGTTCACAAGCGGTGGAGCTGGGATTTGTGAGTCTAGATCTTGATTCTGGGCTGTTTCCTGTATCTCAAGCAACTTTTTCTTCATTCTTCCTGACTTTGAATGCCAAGTGTGTTTCAAGAAAAATTCAACCCTTTTAGTGTCATTAGGATACATTTCCTCCAAAGATGGATATCTGGATATTACATATGATTCCCAAATGTGTGAATTTGGATATTTTGACATATGTGGTGATATAGTGCCATATATATCTTAATTGCTAGCTGAAGGTAATGCAGAAATAATTGCTACTTTAGAAAGTAGGTATTAAAAATATGAATTATTTTTTGAAGAATAGTTGTTTGTGCGAAATTTCCTAGATCCTTAGCATTCACAGACATGTAGTTGATGGGCCTATTTGATAACCTCCCTGTAGGTCTGTATTGGCATCATGAGCCCATGAGGCTGGTTTCAGAAGAGTGAGCAATCCAGCCGGTGGAGGGTGTGCCCTGGCAATACAGCTGAGAGGTGCGCACCTGAGTTCGCTGGAGCCGCATGCCGGTGTTGTGAAGGCGACCAAGTGGATGTAACTCCCATTTTATGAGGAAGGAAGCAGTGTCAGAGAGCTGAAGACATACACACTGAATCAACAGCAGGGGCTGAACTTTAATCCAGTGCTCCTTCCTTTCCTCTTGTTAAACACTTCCTCATTCTTTTAAAATGATTGTTCCTTTTAGGGATGCCTGTCGTAATTCATAACCCACCAGGGACATGGTTTGAGGAATGAAGGCAGGCTATTTATATACAGACCAAACTGTATATTCCAATAAATAAGAAATCCTTTCCTATTATAACAGTGAATGTGGGAAGCCATTGAGCAAAGCTAGCAAGAAACTGGAGCAGACCTCCCAGGAGAGGTTACATTGGGACAGAATAATGCTGGAGGGCTCATAGGGATTCCCACCCTGCCTTGGCACTCAGGGCTATGTTTCAGGAATGCTCTCAAGTCTTTTGGAATTTAATTACTTTAGACAGGACATGCCAGGAGTCCTGGGCAGTGCCAGGTTTGAAAGACTCCAACATTTTGGACTGTATTTTACCTTACTGAAGTCCTTAACATATTCAATGAGATTTTGCTGTTGATTTGTTTAAGGTAGTGGCAGTGATAGTAACAGTAGTTGTAGTAGTAGTAAAATAAGAGCAAATATTTATTGAACAGCTATGTACCAAACATAGTTGTAAACACATTGACTGCATTATTATAATTAATTCTGTAGCCTTTAATGTAAGAACAGTTATAGTGCCCATTTGATATATGAGGGAATTGGGGCACAAAGATGAAAAGACTTCATAGGCAGTGAGTGCTGGAGCCAACACTGACCCCAGGGTGTCTGTCTCCAGAGCGGCTTACTGTTCCACAGCAGCACACACAGGCAATGTGCACAGCACCAAAAACATCTGGGCACCACTGGGCAGATAGCTAACCTCAGGAAACAGAGCTTAATCTTTTCAGCACCTCTGAGAACATCATTGTAAATTAGCAAGAACTGAATAAACTCTGGTGCTTAACAGTTACTTCTTCCCAGAGCACTGCCATTTCTCTCGGAGGATCTGCCATCTTCTTAAGTTACTCAGTAGTAATAATTGTGTGATCCCCAACTAAAGGCTTTCTCTTCCTTGCCCACCCCCTCCACAATCAGTAAATCCGCAAGAGCATATTTACTTTTGCCTTTCTTTCCCAGCATACGCAATAAGTCACCAGATTCTGTTAATTCTTCCTCTTTCATCCCTCTTGCATCAGCTCCTGGTTCTCTATGACTTTTCCTCCACCCTCAAATGGTGAGCCTCCCATTTCCAGGGCTACCTTACACCGGCACAGTCCCCATTCCCAAAATTTCCATAAGTTCCAATTCACTGTTAGGCCATTGTCCTGGTGGTTTTGTTCACAGAAGCATGAAGAGCGTTGTGTTAACTCATGCTGGGGCTTGTGCAACCTTCACCAGCAGGTGTCCTTGTCTTTTGCTTCTCTCTGCCCCCTGTTTCCCTCGCAGTCCTTGTTGACAGAGTAATAGTCTTCTTGGAAAGTGTTTTCTGCATGTCAGTTCCATCACTGAAAAATCTACGCTTCCCTTACTTGTACAGTTCAGGGTTGACCTCATACCACAGAATCCTAAAGCTGGATGACACCTTACGAGTTCTTCTGCTACACTATTTCTCACAATATAGATAGTCTACCTCTGATTTTAAATGAATTCACTATATTTGTCACTAATTATGAGCATAATCTTGCTTACGTTGAAATAAATCTGCCACCAAGTGACTTCCTCCCTATCTTCGGTGTAGACTTCAGGTCCTCTGCCCTCTATTTGCCAGTGAATTTGGCCATGGCCATCAGCGATACCCACTGCCCCTGATTATCCCCTTTCATTGTTTTTCAAGCACTCTCTTTGGCTCTGATAATATAAACTGCCATTTGTATGATGAGGATTCTCAAGATTGTGTCTCCAGGGGTGACTTCTCTGAGCTAACTGTATATATGTAAAAGCTTTTCAAATATTTAAAGATAGCCCATCACTCTGCCAGCCCAACCACATCTCATCACAGTCTGCTAAGTCTGCTCTTCTCCAGTGTCCCGGTCTCATCAGTTATTCCTGTCCTATGATTTCTGGGCTTTTCCCCTTTTGGACTTACCTTTGGCATGCTGGCTGGCGAGTTAATGTCTGGATGTGATCTCATGGATACCCTGGTGTCCTATTGATGCAGCTATTGACTTCAGCTCTTGATAGGGTGTATTGACTTCAGTGGCAACTGTGTCACTTGTTTCATAACTGAGAGTGTGATTGTCTAAAATTCCTTGAAAAACTTGCTCTCAATGCAGTTTCCTCATCTCATGTCTCGCAACTCTCGTAAGTCTGTAAGTGTCTTA